GGCCATCTGGGACGCTCTAACTACCCGCGGCCCCCCCCGTCCAGGTCCAGGGGAGGGGGTAGGGGGAGGGGTAAACCCCTCCCCAAGGGGGAAGAGGGAGGGGTGGAAGAGGATCTGCTCTAGACCACCTACGCCCAGAGGGCTGGTGGGATTCGCCCAGAGGGCCCCTACCACAGACGTGGCGGACACGGAGACTTGTCAGATCCGAAAGCGTGCGAGGAGGGCTCTGGCGGAGTCCATTCGGGCGGACCCGTGGGCCGAAACCCGTCCCTCGGCCCCCCGCCCCGTTCGGATCCCGAAGATCGAGCAGGCCAAGAGAGCCTCCCAGCACGAATGGTGTAGGTTAGGCACGAAGTTCTATTGCAGAAGATGTTAGGTTTCTGTAGCAAGTTCAAGTTTTTTATGTGCCCCCCACGGCATGTGCCCACGTTGCCCCTCCCCCATAAATCGCGCCCTTGAACGGAAGGCGGGCTCTGGGAGGCCATGTTTTGAACGAGTCCCATGCCCTTCAGTATTGGGGTGAATCCAATCTCGTTTTTTGCAGTAGTCGCGGGATGTCAGCGACCACCAATCCCAGGCACTTCTGCAAGCCTTGCGTGGCACCAACCCCCAAGGGGAAACAGAACCCCCCAAGGGGAACCCATGTGTGAAGGGCCCGCCCAAGATTGTTACAGTAACCAATCTCGAAGATCTGCGCCTGTAATTTTCGTTGTCCTACGGTTTTGCGCGGGCGTTGCAGAATTTAGCCCTCCACGGGGGGGTCTGGCGTTCAAGCGGGGCCTGACTTAGGCCCTGACCCTCCCTTCTGGGGCTAAATCGGCCCTCCTGCACAGGACACTGCAGTGCTCACGATCACAGTCTCGACGTTCGTTGTCGCATGCCCCAAAGTCCTACAGTCCTCCTCCTCATCATCATCTTTCTCATATTCCTCCTCCTCCTCTGCCCTCTCTCTCTTCCAGACGCGCCGCTCTTTGCGCAAGTGCCCGGGCCAGCTGGTAAGTGCGCGACCGTGCAGGGCCGTTACACTCTTAGTCGTGCTCTCTTTCCCGAACGAATGGCCGGATCAGACCGCATCGCACTGTTGTCGCTTGGGCTGCGCGGCCAGGATCCCGACCCCAGGCGCAAGCCAATTTAGAGAGTGTTGGAGGTCGCAGATTGGCTGCAACGTCGACAGATTCCAACCCCCCTCCCTTCTCTAGCCCTTCGGAGTGGGCCAGCACTTCGCTTGGTCGCCCCCTCGCTCCCCCCAATTCGTGAAGTGAACTTGGGCAATATCCTCCAGGTCAGCGGCATTCCTGGCGATGTCGGCACTTGGTTGGCGTTTCCCCTCCCTTTCCTCCCTCCCTTCCTCTCTCCCCTCCCACAGGCACTCGGCTTGCGGCAAGCTGTTTTCCCGTATCGAACGTTTTTCTCTCTGGGCGTTGTGCGGGTGGCCGTTTAGAATTGCCACCGCACGGCTTCCATGATTTTATTGGGGCGTCGAACGTTTGCATGGTCTGGGTGTTTTCTCTGATCTGCTGCTCTCTTGCTTCTGCTGCTGCTCCACCGCCTCCTCTGGCGTTGTGTTTGTACGGTGTTGTGAGTCAGGTATTTCTAGTTTTGCCTCCTGGGCATCGCGTCGTGGCTCCTGCCACTTCGCCTTTAATCCAGGGTTCCGCCCGTGTTCACCGATACGATTTGGGGGTGATTTCGTATCGCTCCGCGTTCGCACGCAGCACCAGAGGTGTCAACAAATCGTCCCCTCCCCACGTGCTGCGCTTTCCTCCTCCACCCTCTTCCCCCCTCAAGTAACCAGTGCTTTTTTACTTCTGGCAAGGGCCAGGGTTTTAAGCCGCCAACGCTTGCGACAACCAATTTTGGCAACCACGCTTCCCACTCTCCCTCCTCTCCCTTGTGGCTGGTGCTTCGCGGCAATTTTCATCATCCGCGCATTGGTTGTATGGGGAAAATCAATCAGTGCGTGTAGCATGTGTGTTTCGATGATTCAAGCGCGTGTAGCGTTTGGTGTCTCTATGGTTTAAGTGCGGATAGCGTCTCCCTGTAAGGTTTCAGCACGTGTAGCAGTTGTGTCTCCAGGGTGCACATGCGCACTGCGTGGGCGCAAGCAGCACAGGGAGCGCCAGAAAATTGCCCAATTCATTGGGCCAGGGCCGCCGGGAAATGGCCCGCTTCAGCAGGGAGTGGCCTTGCTCACCGGGTAGTGGTAGTGGATTTTATTTTGCGAGGTGGGCGGCCCGCTGCCACGTTCCACACGGTCTCTTCTGGCACGACGAGGAGTTGGAAGTCCCTGATGATTGTTTTCTTCCACAAGGCGCCTTGGTCTTCCTGGAAAGACCGCGCAGATTCCTGGGCATGCAGGATCGCCTCCATGTAGCTGATGTCTTTGACCGCGTCGTGCTCCACTCTCGGACGAGACCAGGGCCAGGATCTGTTCGTCGTCTTGTCCGTACTTGTCAGCTGGATGTTCGGGTTGGCCTTCACTCAGTTTCACTCTCGACGTAAGCGCGGTCACGACCTCCATGTCCACGAGACGCTCGCTCTGCGTCATGCTCTGCCATGGCGTCTGCAGGAGACTTGTTCAAGAAGTGTCGTGCCACCTTTTCGTAATCGTAGGTGTCGCCCGTTGCACTCACCAGCTCGCGCCGTGTGGACCACAAAGTGCGCAACCGGGGGCACATTATGATCGTGACCTGCTTGTCGATCACCTGCAGCTGCTTAATTAAGGAGCTCATTCTAGCTCTTCTCGAGCCGCGCGATCCCGTCGCTCGGTATCTCGCCCAGTGTATGTCAGACCTTCTGCACGTGATTATCCCCGGGAGCCCCACGTCCTTCATTCATACTCGTCAGGTCCAGTTTCGTCAGTATGTGTTTGAAGCGCTACCGCCATCCCACTCAGTTGCCGTCGTCGTCGACCTACTCGATGATCTCCAACTCCTGCTAGGGCTGTGCATTGCACTTGACGCGAGCGCCGAGGCCCTAGACTCGCTGTGCTCCACAGATGTACATGTCAGCCTGGCGCGCACTCATGATGAACGTCTCGATGTCAAAATGGTATGACGTGAGTATGGCCAGCTCCGAACCTCCGGGGCGGGTGCGGACCACAGCACGACCCAGCCCTGGAGTTACCACCGCCCGCTGGACTGCATCACGGCCCTGGCACTGGCCGCCGCCGCAGGCGGCATCATTGGGCAGGATGACGGCCTCCCACAGCTCGTGGAGCGCAACTCGCTCCGCTACCAGCCTAACCCCCACACGATGCAAATGCAAAGACGATGCTCTTCTCTTCCTCGATCACCTTCCGCTCCCCGTCGGAGCTGACCAGAGCGTCATGGCCGCGCCCCAGCGGCGGCCGCTCCTGAAAACTCGGAGGCACGTGCAACGCGCTCGCCAACTCTGGAGCCAAAGGGTTGCGGCGAAAGAGAGAGAGAGAGAGAGAGAACAAAACACAATCTGATCACATAAAGTAGCGCATAGGTGAGGGACAGGCTAGGAGGTGAGAGATTCAGACGGAGGGCCTTTGGGCCTTTGGGCCTTGTCTTTGGTGTCGTAGTGGCCTCTTTGGGTCGTCTTGGGGGCTGTTGGGTGCCGCTCAAGGCAATGCCGGGCCATCTTGGTGGCCTTGGTGGCATTCCTGGGCCGTCTTGGCATGGAAGCTTTGGAGGGCCTCGGGGAGTCCTCGAGCGGCCAGGAGCCCTCGGGAGAGAGGGGCGATGCACGCAGCGAGGCGTGGCCCACGCTGCCGGTCTGGAGGCCCTCTGAGGGCCTTCCATAGCCGTCTGGGGACCTTCTTGGGGCCCTCGGGGGACTGACCAAGGAGGGTGGGGCCTCAGAGGATTAACAGAAACGGTGCCAAACAGCACTGGGCATTCTGGCCCGCGCGGCCAGTATTGAGGCTCTCTGGGGGCTGTCCAGGGCCGTTTGGCGACCTTCTTGGGGCGAAGGACTCTCTCGAGGGGGGAAGCCAACATATATCGAAAAGCATTGCTGTATCATTTTGTTGACATCTAGGGTATCCTTCCAGCGCGCTCGTGAGCCGTCTTGGCGCTCTCTGGGGCCGCCCTGGGGTCATCTTTGGGCCGTCTGCATCCGTGTTTTGCTCCTTCGGGCGCTCTTGAGCCCCCCTTGGACTTTCTTGGGGCGTTCGGGAACTTACAAGGGCCAGCAGTCCTTAGTTGTATCAAACCTTTTGTTCTGTAAACTGAGGAATTTGGTTATCACCGCCATGTATTGCCAGATCTTCCCCTACGCCTGCACTCGCCCTGCCCCTCCTCCCCCCCTCTTTCTCTCTCTCTCTCTCTCTCTCTTTCTTTATTGATTTATTTCTCTATCTCTCTCTTTCTCTCTCTCTCTATATATATATATCCCTCTCCCTCTCTATATGAATTTACGTACATACAAATATGTCAGTATCCCTCTCTCTCTCTTTCTCTCCTCTCTCTCGTTTTATTAGAACCATCATGGCTAAAGTGTAGTTTTTTCGGCTCTAAGTCATTAGTCAGAAATGAACCTGGTCCCTTTGATGTTATCACCTGTAGGATTGCTATTCTCTCTCTCTCTCTCTCTCCTCCTCCTCCTCCTCGATACAAGCGTGCTGTATAAGTTTATATATATATATATATATGTTTCGGAAGTTGTCCCACCCCGCCTGTCTTCCGGTTCCCTTCTCCCCTCGAATTCCCCTCACACATCCTTCTTGTCTCGATTCATCACGCTCCCTTCATTCCCTCCCATTCCCCCCCCCCTGTCTCACTTCTCACTCCCCTCTCCCTTGCCAGTTCCCCTTCCCATACGCTCTCGCCCCTTCTCTCTTTACCATTCCACTCCATATGGCACTCCTTACTTTTATTCCTTGCTCATGCTGTCTTCACTTTTCCATCCTGCCCGCGGTTCCCCTTCTCTCCCCTCGCCCAGACCCTCCCTCCATCCCTAAATTCTCTCTTGCCCGTCCCTCTCCCTCTCTTTCTCTCCAATCGCGCGCGACACGTTACCAACTTGCAGAGGCGTTCACGGGCTTAGCCGACAAGACCTCGGTGAGCTACATGAGGCCTTGCCGAAGTTGCTGCGAGAGTTACATCCAGGTCGCATCGAACGGTGAGGAAGGACTGAGAGAGGATTTGGCGTGGGCATAGAGGAGCTAAGGAGCCCGTAGAGGAAACAACTTGTTTCATATCTTTGTCATGTGGTATTACGCCCCCGCTTCACCCTTAACGCTGGACCTCCGTCCTCCCACCTCCCTCCCTTCTGGTCTCCCTCCTCCCTCCTTGATCCTCTCTCTCCCTCCTTCTTCACTCCGTTGCATCCCGTGCCCCCCCCCACCTTCTAAACATAAAGGAGCAGGGATGGTCAACAAAGTACCCGTGGGGCTAGGGAAGGACGAGAAGAAGAAGGAGGTGGAGAAGGAGCGATGAGGACAGAGGTAGATTTATTGTCTCACCGCTGCCTGACGAAGCGAGCGTTATTGCCGCCTGCCAGGCCACCACCTCTGCTCCCGATACCTACACTCGAGTGCGAGGCATCATAATCACGCGTTGAGACAACACCAGGAGGACGAGGTTGTGGGGCGAACTTTATGGCTGTAGCTCTTGCATGGCGCATGGCTCAGGGTGTGCGCATTCACCTGTCACAAGTCAGTCGCAGAAACATGCAGCATTATGAGCCATGATGTGCATTGCACGCCATCAGGGGTGTTCCTGCCGCGTATCTGGTTTGTCTGGCGTGTGTGTCACAATGTTGCGCCGGTCGCATCGTCATCCTCTTCTCCGTTTACGACGGATACCAGGATGGACCCCAACCAACGACTCTGCGCAACCTACGACATGCAATCTACTCAAGAGGTTTGCGCCATCCCGCCACCTCCCAGAGGAAGAGGTTTGTTTGCCGATTGCGATGTCGTAGGTTTTCAGCCGATTCCCGTCGTGTTGCTTGCGTGTAGTTGTTGCTGATTATATAGGCTTACGCCACATCCGCCGACCCCTCTATGAATTACTGCGCCTCCAAGACTGCCTTTCACAAGGCTTGTCCGAATCATGACACGGCGCTCGACATCGTTCTTGTTGCCTCGTTGTTGTTACCGTATTTTCCGGGACCCACGCTTCGTCCCGATCCGTTCCTTGGCGGCCCCCCGTGGGCTCCGAGACGTCTTCACGCTGCACGCCGAGAGTGTCGAAACATCTTCTCGTGGGCGACAAACAGAGTCGTACCCACGGCATTTCCGGGGATGCCCCGCGCGTAACCAATCCGCGCGACGCGTATCCGCGGGATCGCGCCCCAGAATCCACACCGCGAGGGCGCGGATACGGATATGTTGCCGCTCTTCAGAGGTCGGGGGGCGATGACGGAGGGCGGCGACGGCGGCGGCGACGGCGACGACGGTGGAACCGCGGCGGCTTCCAGCGCGACCGCGGGGGCGCGCGCGTGGCGCGCCGTCGGGCGGCCTCGGATAAGACGGAGAAGGAGGCCTCGCCTTCGGCGGGTGCCCGTGGCGGCGGGTAGACGCGGCTCGAAAATCCAATGCGTTCGGGCTCCAAGGGGGGTCCAGGGTCTGTTGTCTGCCACCTCTCGGGCAGAATTCCGAAGCTGGGGCAAGGAAAAGTAGCAAGAATGCGTCAAGTTCATGGTAGTGTGTGGCACGCTCTGGGATGTCCGTTGGGATCTCGTGGTGAGGACTCTCGCGGGCCTCTTCGAGGCAGTTTCGAAGGGTCTTGGGGGCCGTTTTGGGGCTCCTTTGGGGCCTCTTGGGGGCTCCTTGGGGCCTCTTGGGTGCCTCATGGGGGCCTCTTGGGGCCGCTTGGGGGCTTCTTGGGTCTTCCAGAGAGCTTCTCGGGGCCGTCTTGGAGCTCTCTTGGGCCGTCTAGGGGGCTCTTGGGCCACGTTGGAGTTCTTTTGGGTTGTCTTTGGGGCCTCCTGGGAGCCTCGTGGACCGTCTTGGGGGTCTCGTGGACACTTTTCAACGCCGTGAAGGCTGACAAGTTGGATATGCTGAAAATGCACGTTTTCCCAGAGGAATTTCAAGATTTTGGTTTCCTGGTGGCTTCTTGGGAGGCCTCTTGGGCCGTTCTGAGCTCATCTTGGGCGTCTTGGAACGATCTTTCGGCGACTTTGGGTTCTCGTGGACCGTCTTGGCGGCTTCTTGGGAGGCGTCAAGAGCTGTCGTGCAGCTCAAGAGCGAGCCCAGGGAGCCCAGACCGCCCCGGGTGAGTTCGGTCCGGGGCCACCCGGGGCCGGGGGGGGGTGTCAAAATCCCGGTTTGGGGTCCGGGGGGATTATGGGGGGGAACAATCTCACACGCCTGGAGGCCCACAAGGGGTCGGCGGATTTGTCCTCCTCTTCCTCCGCGTTTGTTGCGACATTTCTTTGGGGAGGGCGGCTTGGAGGCCTCGGGGCGGCACCGCACATGTGCTAGCCTGCATGATTTCGCGTAGCTTGCCGAACGGCTACTATTTGCCTCTTTGACGACGCTCCCCCCGGCGCAGGCCTGCAACGTGGAGTGCTGTGACGAGAGCGTCACGTGCGTCTGGGACTCGGGAATGGTTAGCGGAGAGAGAGACAGCATATGTGGAGCAGAGGAAAAGGGTAGTGAAAGAGGAGAGTGCTGCGCAGGAGGAGTGTAGAGCGGGGTGGGGACGGGGACAGTGGGCGAAGTGGACCTTAACGAGGGAGGAAAGGGAAAGGGTGTGGGGGGGGCAAGGGTACTAGGGAGGAGGGACAGATCAGGGGGTGAAGGAGAGAGAGAGAGAGAGAGAGAGGAGGGGGAAGATAGGGGGGACCGAGAGGAGCGAGAACATAATGATAGGGTGGATGACGAGGAGGAGAAGGAGGACGTGGTGAAGGATGGCCAGGAGCAGCCGCAGGAGGAGTATGAGGAGCAGGGGAGACAGGAAGAGACGCGGGAGCAGGATCAGATGGAGCACGGGAAGGTGGAGCATGACACGCGACGGCGTGCGAGAGGGGGAGAGGACAGCTCCAAGTCTGGACAGTCCCCGGCGACCACATCGAAGCAGACGGTCCGCGCGGACGGCGTAAGCGTCCTGCTGGAGATGGGGTACGCCGACTTCGAGGGACCGACGCCTGAGAGCCGGAACGTCATCCTTCCTCCTCGATGGCATTCCTCCATCCTCCGCCTTCTTTCCTCCCCCGTTTTGCTTTCTCAGTCCCATGGTGCGACCTTGAACGCCCCGCCGGGCGGCTGGCCGTTTACCAGCACCTGCTTCGATGACCCGCGGCATGGGCTACTCAGAGGCCCCCTCTGATCATTCAGAGCTGCACCGCACCTCTGAAGGCCGCTTCGGGATGCAGAACGGTTAGCTGCCTACCGCGAGGTTGATTGACGTGGGATCTTGCTTCAGTGCTCGCAATGGCGCGTGTCAAAAGCTCCGCGCTGTGTAATTCGTAAGAATATGCCACCCTTCCCCTCCTCCTCCCTCGACCTCTCATTTTCACCCTCCTTCGCCCCCCTCTTCCTCCACGTCTTCACATACCTCACTATCTTCATGCGCTCTTTTTTATCTGCCTCCTCGCCCTTCCACTCTGAAGTCATCAAGGTCTGAACGTCCTAACACATGCAGCTTAAGCTGAAATAGCATGAGCCAGGCCTCACCCGCTCCTTGTTCTACTGAAGCCTCGAAGATGCCCCTATTTTCCCGTGTCTCCGAATTTGCGCCCTCCCCCCATTGCCCACCTACTCGAAGATGGCGTTGACCCGAGGCGCGGGGGAGAATTGGGTGTGGGGGGGGAGGAGGGCGGAGGAGAGGCTCCTTGTTGCTACCGTCCCCGTGTGCCTTCCCTTTCGCCCTCATTTCAGCCCTGGGCTGGGTGCGCACAGACCGTCGCGCGTGTTTGGCCCAGAAGAGGGAGGGTATCATCAGAACGAGAGTCTGGGAGCAGCGCTCCTGAGCGTTCTCACGGGCGTGATCAGTTAATCCATCGCCCTTCTTGGCGAACTGCGTTGGTTCGCTTGAAATCCTCAGGCATCAGGCATCCGGAGAATATCGGAAGCGAAATTGCGAGAAGTCGAACTTCATATGAAAAGCACGCTTTTCAATAGAATTGGCCTCCCGGGACCAGTCACACACTTCGTGCACCATGGGCAGACTGGATTACAGCGTCAGTGGGTACGGTCGCCTGCGCACCCGACGATCGTATGCAGTGGCAGTCGGCTCATCCCGCCACCGTGCCTGGGTCATGGAGCAGAGACATATTCGTGAGCCTCTCGGGACCATGGTGGTTGCCTCTTGGGGGCCTCCAGTGAGCCTTCCGGGGGGTAGAGGGGCATTTCGGGGGCCTCCCCTCTTTGGGCCGACTAAGGCGCCCTTGGGTCCGTCTTGGGGTCTTGTGGGCCATATTGGAGCCCCCTGGGTTATCTTGGACGCGTTTAACCGAAAAAGGGGAAACGCTGATAGGAGGTGCAAGAAGGCGCTCCAGCAGCTCCGCCGATACTGGGCCCTCTCGAAGACAGAGTTCGGATGGTATCAAGAAAGCGGTCCTCGACAACTTCTCTGACGAGTGCAGTTTCAAGTATGACAAGTCCTGCGAACTCCCCGGCAGATGTCTCCAGAGCTGCGCGCCCTTCTCTACGGGCACAGGCTTGACCTCGATTTCCGGGCACAGCAGCAAACGGTAGTGGCCATCACACGAGTGGCCAAGATCAGATATTTTGCGCGGCATATACCAGGTGTAGCCACCAAGGGTTGGGCCTGGGTCGTCGTACGGATAAAACGATCACTTTCGACACTGAGAGGACCGAGTGGAAAGAGCTCAGGAGGGTGGCCCACCTGTTGAGGGAGGGGTGGCGCCAACACCGATAGCGGGCTTTCGTGAAGCAGCCGCGCCACGACGCGGCCATGCTCCAGGACATTTGCTATGACGAGAAGCGGTTGAAGGCGGTCTACGCACATGTGGAGAAGGAGCCATGATGTCGCCGCTAGCCGCAGCGGCCGACTCACCAGCATCATTGGGCAGGCCAGCATCATGTTGCATGGGAGTGCACGTCGCCTATTATCGCTCGGCGACCACGCTTGGGACCATGCGACATGCTGCAATTCAGGCGCTTCTGGCCAACGGGCCTTCAAGCACGGAACGACATCGACGCGGCCATCCTGCAAGTCGGCCGTGAAGTCGACAACACCACCTGGGAAGAGCAGTATGGAGCTCGAGACCGATGGCGAGCTGCTGATATGGTGGTCATGGGCTCCTAGGGGAGGGTGCCCGCGCAGCAGCGTAGTACACCTTTCTCCCGCACGCTCATACTGGGACAGGCCCCTCGGGCGGCGCAGTTTTTCCCCAGGACCGCCCAGAGGAGGCCGGGAGAGACATGCCACCCTGGAGGGTGAGGAGTGCCAGTTCATCTCGAGGGGCTGGCAGCCGCAACGTATAGACAGAACGCTGAACATCATGCAAACACTACGTGTTTTTGAATCATTGACGCTCTTGAGGCCCGCCCACAGCACCACCAGTACAGCCCAAGAGGGCCCCAATATAGGCACCTGGAGCCATCTCGGGACGTCGTAGGCTTGGAATTCGGATCACGCCCCCGAGGCCTTTTTGTGGAAAAGTTGCGCATGAAGCCTCAGAAGCGGCCATGAGAGCCCGAGACAGCCCAGCAACCGCTTGTGTCTGGGGCCTTTGGTACGGATTCGGCGGGACCTGAAGATACTCCGCCCAGTTCCTGCGGCACGGTGGTCCGCAGCCGCTCTGGCTCAAGTAACGTTTCAAAGGCTCAGTGCTCAGGCGCGTTCATACACACCCGTTCAAGGTCTGGAAAGACCAGCAGGACACTACCCACCTGCACATCAGTCCTCTGCGAACTGCTAACTGCACTCCCAAGCGCTCCCATGGCGACTGTCTGCCCCGGCGCCGCCCTCGGCCTCCACGGCAGAAGGCACGCCCCCCCCTCGGGCGCCGACCGGGTGGGAGCCCTGGCCCAGGACACGCTGCGGCTCCTGGAGCTCGCGATCTGCGACCACAAGGGCAGCGACGGCCGCGCGACCCGCGACGCGGCCCTGCCGCGGCTCGCCGCGGAGCCCAGGGCCGCTCCCTCCCGGCGGAGCCCAGCGTCGAAGCCATCGGGGGCCCGGCGCCAGCCCCGCGGCCCGCCCGCGGCCGCGCTAGCGGCCGTCGCGGCGCCCGCCTTCGCGCCCGCAGGCTGCGCCTTCCGCCCGCCGCCCGGCCTCGCGCCAGCCACCGCTCCGCCTGGCCTTGCTCCACCCGGCCTCGCGGCGCCGCTGGACCTCCAGATGCAGCCCGGCCTCCCCACGCCGCCCGGCCTCGGCCACCGCAACGAGTTGTTCCAGCAGTGCGCCAGCGTCGAGCTGTCGTGGGAGGTGGCTTCTACGTGCTCTGGGGGCGCCGAGTCCGAGTCCTCCTCGACGCCGACCACGACTGGCGAGCCCAAGTGGCTGCTTCCCCCACGGTGGATGACGGAGGCGACGGAGGCAGACTTGGTGGCGTGAAGTCCCGCCGCTTGCCAGCGCCCCGGCCGCTCGCCCCCCGCGTGCGCCACTTGTGGCACTGGCTGGGCAGCGGTCGCGCCCAAGGATGGCCAAGGGTTGGGGGGAGAGGCAATGACGGAGGAGAGAGGGGGGGAGGCAACAGAGGAGGAGATGCAACAAGGAGAAGGATGCGCCCTGGCAGACCTCGGTGGCTGGCTCTGGCCGCCTCCGCGTGCCCGCGCGGCGTCGCTCCACCTTCAGGTGCCTTTCGGCCAGCTCTTGTGCGGCCTCCAGGCGCCCTGCGCCATCGCCTCGGCCCCTCGGCGGCCGTGCCTGCGCTGCCTCTGCCTCTCTCGGAGTCGCTTTCGGTCACTCTCAGGGTCGCCCGCGCAGCTGCTCGGCACCGCCTTCGCTGCGGCGGCCCGGCCGCAACGGCGCGGGCGCCATGCCTTTCCTGCAGAGGCCGCCCAGAGTATCAGTGTAAAAGCTTCTGCAGCTCCGCTCACGGGGCGCTTCTCCCGCGAGGGGGCTCCCAGGGGGCTCGCGGGCCCCGCAGGGGGCCCGGCCCCTCCCAGCTCCTCCTCGCCTCTCCCTCTTCTGGCCCGCCCTTCCTCGTGCCCTGCGGCGGCTTGGACGAGGGCACCCGGGGAGCGGCTCCGCTCGCGTTGCCTCTCCCTTGCGACCTCCGCTTCCTGGCACCTCCCCCCCTCCTCCTCACCCTCGTCCTTTTTCTTCCGGTGTCTGTCTCCTTCGTGGTACCCCAAACAGGGCACCGCTATCCGCAATCGTACAGAGTCCATATACAAGACGAGGCTGGAATAATGCCTTTGCCTTCAGGCCTGCAATTCGGGTCTTACAGCGAACGCTATTATGCCTTCGTTTCGAGCCGCGGCTGGAACAATGCCCGACCGTTTTTTGTTGGCCAATCGTTCAGGTCCAACAGACGCGCCATGTCGCCGTCGACAGTGGAACAAAAACATCCTGTGGAAGGTTGGCCGATTTCACTAGGAACCGTGCCCCATGGAGACTCCTCAGCGCGGTGCCAGTGGACATTGTGGCATGCGCATCAGACATACAGCATACAAGCCACACACAAACACACATATACACACACGCGCGCACACACACGCGCAAGCGCATGCGTTGCGACCAAGAGAGAGAGAGAGATAGAGAAAGAGAGAGAGAGCGAGAGAGGGAGAGAGGAACAAAAGGAAACAGAAAGAGAGATAGAGAGCAAGAAAGAAATAATCAAATAATGATAGTCAGCAAGAACAAGAGAGGGAGAGAGAGGGCCAGGCCACGGCTGTGCGCGCACCCGATTCACATATTTCGCATTCCACGTTGGAGCCCAAACTCGGCGACAGCGGGTACGCACTTCACCAGATTGTGCCGTCACGCACTTCATTTCCAGGAGCCCAGTTCGTAGGTAGCCTGGTGCCTACCAATGCCCTGTGCTCTTCAAGCTCCGATCGGGATCTTGGTGGGCCGAGGTATGCGCGGCAGTGCTTCAGGGTTTGTTCGGAGGTGGTTCGGGTCCTCTGACCAAGCCTCGTGACGCCTTCGGGGGATATCTTGAGGCCTCCAGGGGTGATTCCCAGATGTTCGACCTTACGGGCCTTAGGGAACCGCATGTGGCGCCAGGGGGCACGGACGCATGTGCACAGGACGTCCGTGTTGGCGCACCCATCGCACATGTCTTGCCGTGCACCTTATAGGAAGCCCCAGTTGGCACACCACTGGGCGCGGTTGCATATCACGGCGCGTCCGTGGTCGGCAGGCTGGCGCGCCCCTAGACACTTCCGACCCTCATTGGGATTATGGCGCTTTTGAGGGCGAGTGCATTATTCTTGGACGTCCGTTTTCATACATCTCGCGCGCTGCGTGTCCAATGGGAGTCCTCATTGACGGCGTCAAATGGAACGGTCGCATGCGCACCAGATGTATGTTTGCGACGTGCCACTCACGGATTGTGCCCCATTGGACCTCCAATTGCGACGTTAGCGGATACGCTCGCATGCGCATTGGACGTCCGTGTTGGCACCTTTGTCACACATGTCGTGCCTCAGTGGGAGCCCCAGCGACCGCCAGTGTGCGCGCTCAAACACGTATCGGACGTCCGTTATGTCACCCTTGGCACACATTGCGTGCCCCATGGCGACCCCCGACTATTGTCCGCGCCAGTGCTGTAGCATATGTGTCCGCTGCGATAAAAATAGCAGCATTTCGTCATGTGCGGCTACGGTGCGAAGAAGTAAGATACCAGGGCGCTCATTCAAGTGAGGAGGAAGGTAATCCAGGCTGCAAGAGGGGACAAGCATGAAGACCCAGATGATGATGAGACGAAGTACCAGGGAAAATAAAATGGTATAGACGAGGACTTCCTTGCCCGCGATCCCCCCCAGCTCTCCTCAGGACCGTCCATCCACTGCACGGGAAGCGGAAGCGAAGCGAGTAGAATGGCAAAGGTGGCGGTCCCGACCATTGCAGCGGGGCTTGCTGCCTTCTATTACGCGCTCTAGGCGGCGCGCTGCAGTTCCTATCTTTCCCCCCCCCCCCTCTCTATCCCCTCCTCCCGCCTCCCCTCCCCCGCTCCATCCCTTCCAACCTCTCTCCATCACCCCCCTCTCCCTGGGAGGGATGGAGGGGGGGGGGGGGGGAAGGAGGAGGAAAGAGGAAAGCAAGGGGGAGGATGATGATGATGATGATGAGGAGGAGGAGGGAGGAGGAGGAGGAGGAGGAGGAGGAGGAGGAGAGAGGCGCAACATGAGGAGGATGGCGAGGATGGGGGAGAAGGTAGGACGAAGCAAGTCGAGGACGAGGTCATCCCTGCCTGCATGCATCCTCCCCCCTCCCTTCCAACTCCATGTCCATGACCCTCTTGCTTTCACAGGCGTAGAGCTCCGCCGGGCTGCCCCTGGCGCGCTTTGCGACTCCCCCTCCTCCTTCCAGGTTGTGACATCATGTGGGCGCTCCGAGCTCGGCACCCCCCTCGCTCGCCGAGTGGCCTGCACTTGTAAGCGAACCGATCCAGCCACGTAGTCGGCTGAGACAGGGGGAGGGAGGTGGGATGGAGAGAAGGATGAGGTGATGGGATGGGGTTGCATCACCAAGACCACGATGTGCTGCGAACGGAGGTCGCCACAGACAGATACCCGACGTCCGACGCACCTGGACCGCCGCCTTCTGCTGACGCTCGACGCCCCCTGATCGACGGCCAGCAGCGACCCGCCCCCGAAGTACCTTTCTCCCTCCCTTCTTCTGCCTTTGTTTGCATCGGGTGCGTTGAGACCTCTCGCTCCCCCAGGAACATCATAGAATTCTCCGAGAATTCTCCCCCAGAGTCTCCGGCAGCAGTGGCGGGGGCCCCTCGGATCTCCGGCAGCGGAAATCATCGGCGACATTTCCGACGAAATCTCCAGACAACCCTGCCGAGGTTAGGAATCCCGGCCAAATCTCCGACGAAACCTCTGGGAAGCCCCCTTCAGGTAGAAATCTCCGGCGAAATCTCCGGGGCATTCCGCCCGCGCGAGAACGTCCACAAACGGAATCCCATTGTAATCTCCCACACAAGGAATCCAATGTTAATCCTTTACAGAAGGAATCCTGTTGTAACCCACCACACACGGAATCCGATTGTAATCCTCTATAAACGGAACCCCATTGGAATCACCCACAAGAGGAATCCTGTTGTAAAATCCACAGGGAATCCCATTGAAATCCTCTACACAAGGAATCCGAATGTCAGCCTCCACAAACGGAATCCTTTTGAAATTCGCCACGAAAGGAAATCTGTTGTAATCCCCCACAACAGGAATCCCTATGTAACCCTTCGCAGAAGGAATCTTAGCGTATCCCCCACATATGGAATCTTATTTTCATCCAGCATAACAGAATCCCGTTGTAATCTTCCACGAAGGGAATCCTGCTGAAATCCGCCACGCAAGGAATCATACTATAGTCCCCCACAGAAGGAATCCTATTGCCATCGTCCATAAACGGAATCCTATTGTAATCCTCCGCGCAAGGAATCCCATTGAAACCAGACGCATAAGGCGTCCGATTGAAACCCGCCACTAAAGGAATCCGATTGTAACCTGCCACAAACATATTAATGCACGCCTCCGCAACTGGAGTCCTATTGTTGTCCTCCACAAAAGGACCCCGCAGAAAGAACCCGTGTCAAACCCGATAGTGCGGATTAGGATGTATATGAATTGTGTAGGACGTATTGGGTCTTGGAATTGGCGAGAACAGGTGAGCATGGGAAATGTCAGACCAGGGTCGAATATGTGAAGATTGCTTCTAATGCATTACGAGTATGGCCGTCGGGGCCCGCACAGTGGATTCAGCCGATGATTCTGATTGCCCGGGCCCACGCAATAGATTTCGCAACGCCATTTCTAAACACATTTTGGCGGCGGTAGCTCGTTTATTCTAGGCTCTACACATGTTAGTGCCACGGTTCGCGGTAGTCTTCGGAATTAGACTGGCGAAGGACCCAACCATATGCAGTTGTGAATACCGGGAATATGAATATCGTTTTCGGTGGCGCTACCTCTGGGTAGGGGAGACGCATGCGAACACCCCCACTGGGGCCTTCGGTGGAGCTCCCTATGGGGCTACGAAGCGCTGCCCTGGGTGGGGGAACCGCGTGCGGGCGCCCCCACTGGGGCCTTCGGTGGAGCTCCCTATGGGGCTACGACGCGCTGCCCTGGGTGGGGGAACCGCATGCGGGCACCCCCACTGGGGCCTTCGGTGGGGCCCCCTATGGGGCTACGACGCGCTGCCCTGGGCTGGGGAACCGCATGCAGGCACCCCCACTGGGGCCTTCGGTGGGGCTCCCTTTGTGGCTACGAAGCGCTGCCCTGGGTGGGGGAACCGCATGCGGGCATCCCCATTGGGGCCTTTCGGTGGAGCTCCCTATGGGGCCACGAGCATGGCATCGCCTGGACATACGATATCTGAAGAATTCTGCCCGTCCCACCCTTCCCGGGACACCCCGCAACACGGAGCAGGGCATTGTATTGGTTTTGTATATATTCCACATTTTTATCGCTGCCTCTTGGGCCCAGAGAATGAAATTTTACATTGGGTTTGGACCATTGGGTTTTCAACTTAACATGGCCTCTGATTTTCTATATAAAAAATGATGCATCGCGTGCGAGAACGCCTGCGCGCACGCGCGCGCAAGCGGGTGACCCGGCACCGCGCGGGTCACCAGCGTGCGCGCGCGCCTCGCATATTGTATTGTTTTTGTATATTCCACGTTTATATGGCCGCTTCTTGGGCCCAGAGAATGAAATCTTACATTGGGTTTGGACCATTGGGTTTTCAACTTGACATGGCCTCCGATTGTAAATTAAAAACAATGCAGGATGCAGCGCGTGCGCGCACGCGCGCGCGAGCGGGTGACCCGGCGCCGCGCGGGTCACCAGCGCGCCCGCGCGCCTCGCATATTGCAGTGTTTTGGTACATTCCACATTTATATGGCCACTTCTTGGGCCCAGAGAATGAAATTTTACATTGGGTTTTGACCATTGGGTTTTCAGCTTAACATGGCCTCCGTATACAATCAACACAGGATGCAACGCGCGCGCGCGCGCGCGCAAGCGGGTGACCCGGCACCGCGCGGGTCACCAGCGTGCGCGCGCGCCTCGCCGATTGCATTGTTTTTGTATATTTCACGTTTATATGTCCGTCTCTTGGGCCCAGAGAGTGAAATTTTACAGTGGGTTTTGACCATTGGGTTTTCAGCTTAACATGGCCTCCGATTGTATGAAACCAATACAAGATGCATCGCGTGCGCGTTCGCGCGCGCGCGGGTGACCCGGCCCCGCGCGGGTCGCCAGCGCGCGCGCGCGCCTCGCATCTTATATTGGTTTCTCACATTCCATGTTTATATGGCCGCCTCTTGGGCTCACATAATGAAATTTACATTGGGTTCTGGCCATTGGGTTTTCAACTTAACCAGGGGGCGTCTTTCGCAGGGCCCGACTCATTGGATAAAGTTCGCCAGATCCAGTTTTTGTTCGGGGGGGCTCGCGGGGATCCGGAGGAGATCCCCTTGGAGATTTCTGCATCAAGGTCGGAATTGCCCCCGGAGGCTGCCCGTGGAGGCACCCGAAGGGGTTCGATTTTCGGGCGGCGTTCCCCGGGGATTTTCCACGGAGATTTCCAATGGGAGACAACGGGGCATTTCCTGACACATTTCCAACGGGACTCCCGAGGGGCAAGATTTTCCATGTGATTTCCATTGAGATTTCCGAGGGGCAGCATTTCCCGGAAGATTTCCACCGGGATTTCCGAGGGGCAAGATTTCCCGGGATATTTTCCAGGAGATTTCCAGGGTGTTGTCTTCCATTTCCATGGGGATGCCCGAGAGGCGCGATTTTCCGGGCGAGTTCGACTGAGATTTCCGAGGGGCGAGATTTCCCGGGAGATTCCCGCGGAGATTTCCGAGGGGCACGATTTTCTGTGAGATTTCCCGGGTGATTTTCTTGGGATTGCTGGGATCGTTTTTCGGGCATACGGGATGTGCTGTGCATTCTTAGGTGATGCGCGTGAGGTGGGTTTCCCGGGGGAATTGCCGGAGGTTTCTGCGAGGGGCGCATTTTTTGCTTGGAAACAAAAAACCGCAAACAATGTATTCCCGCGCGCATTTGCAGCGGGATTTCCGGGGGGCAAGATTTTCCGGGAGATCCTCTCGGAGATTTCCGAGTGGCAAGATTTCCCGGGAGATTTCCACGGAGATTTCCGAAGGGGCAAGATTCTCCGGGAGATTTTCCGGGAGATTCCCTGGAGGCCCCCTAGGGCGTGTTTCCGAGGGGCGCGATGTCCCGTGACATTACCTGCGGTTGTCTTGGGAATGTCCGACCGGGATCGGATGCAGCGACGGTTCTTCAGGGAATGCCCGGGGGGCCCGCAGGCGTTCCAGGCGGGCGATCGGGCGTCTGCCCAGGCGCGCGCGCGAAAGCGTCGCGATGACGTTTCGCGCCGGCTCTGGCGAAGTCCCCCGGCATGCGCCCTTGCCCTCGCCAGCCTGGCGGGCGCGTTCCGCGGGCGGCGCGCTCCGCGGGCGGCGCGCTCCGCGGGTAGCGCGGCCCGCAAGGTCCTTGAACGTTTGGGTCGCCCGTGCTGGGGCGGCGGGGGGCGCGGTGCAGGGGCGCCCGCCGCGGCCCCCCCGAGATCGCTGAGAAGTTTTCGCGCGGCCGCCATGCCTCCGCGATAGATGCCCGCGCAATCGCGCGCCGCGGCGCGGCGCGCTAAGGCGGGGGGGGCGCCCAATGCGTCGCAGCGCGCGGTGGGGCGCGGGCCTGGCGAGGCCCCCCCCCCGCCGCGCGCCATGGCCGCGCGCAGCTCTTGCGCGCGCGCGCGCCCGCCAGTTGCAGTAGGCGCGCGCGCTGAAGCGCCGATGTCGAGGCGGCCGCCCCAGGCGCGCGCCCGCGGAGCTCCCCGCCGCCGCGGCCCCGCCCGCAATTTCTGCGGCCTGGCGCGGCCGTCGCGCCGCGGGCCGCGGGCGGGAAAGATCGACGGGCGCGGCCTCGAATGCTTCGATTTAGACGCGCTGCCCGAGAGGCGGGCGCCGCTGCCCAGCTCGCGCTTCCATAGGGGTTCTACGGGCCCAAAGCGCACCTAGTGCCTCTCTTGCTTATTGGGGTTGCTTGGGCGCCCAGGCGTGGCGGCAGCGGTGCTTGCGCCGCCGTCCGCCCGCGGGCCCCGTGGCCGCGCGCCCGCCCTCGCCGGCATTTTTTTTTGGCCCCCCAGGGGGCTGCGCCGTCTCATGGCGGTCACCGAAGGGGTCCATTTCGTTGGAGTTTGTCCTGGGCCCAGGTAAGTGGCGGCGCTGTCGCAGATAGCGGCGCCCCAAGGATGGCGAGGTCTACGCTGGCGCACGTGGGGCGCCCCCCGTCGGGCTTCCCGGGGGCCCGCGGCATTGGCGATGTTTCCAAGCCGCTGCCCGCCAGGGGCGGCGGTGCGTCATGGCGGCGCCATGGGGGCGCCCTTCGTTCGACCCCCCGAGCACGCGAAAGAGGCCCCAGTTTAGCAGGTCGCAGCCCGCCATGGGCGGCGAGGCCTCACGGTGGTCCCCGTGGAACACCTTTACGCCGGACCTCCTGTGAGTTTGAGGCCGCGTCGGCCGCGACTGCCCGAACAGATGAGTTGCCGAAGGTAAGAGTCAGGGAGGGGCCAGCGGAGGAGGCAATGCCGGTGAAGGATGCCAGTACGGAGGTTGCTAGTACAACTACAACAGCAATTACAAATGTTACCCGGGCGGCCAGGGCGGCAAATGGGGGATGCGGAAGCCAGAAAATGCACCGGGGAAATGCATGAAAAGGCAAAGGCGGCAATGGAGGTCACCAAGGATGGCATGCAGGAGGAGGTAACAGAGGAGCTAAAGGAGGAGGTCAGTGTGGCCAAGGGTCTGTGCCCCACAGCGAGCGATCATGCTTTAAGTGCGGCGGTGAGGGGCGCGTCGCCCTTAACTGCCCCTGAGGGGCCAATGGGGCCACCGCCGGCCCAGGGGGGGCAGCTGGAGCCGCCGGGGCAGCAGCGGGAGAACAACCTCAGGGACTCGGGCAGTCTTTACTGGGAGCTTTCAGCGTTGAGGTACCCGCGGATGTTACCGAGGAGAAGCCAGAGGTCGCGGAGGAGCGGGGCAAGCAGTATGAGGAGAGGAGGAGGCCAAACAGAAGGGCGAAGAAGGGGCCCATGGCAAGTTACCGCGCGCGCAGCCCCAACTGCAACCACCCCCAGGACAAAAACGTCACCAGACCGCTCCGGAGCCAGGGGGGGGGGGGAACTTTGTTAACGTCCGCTAGGGCTGTTACCTCCAAGAGTCGGTTCCAAAAGTAACGCGCATGCTAATGCGCATTGGGCTGTTCCCCCCCGCCCCGAGACGCCTCCGCCCAAAATGCGCCGCCGAACCCAATCCGTTTGGGTCGCGCGCGGGCGCGGGCGATTCTCGCACGCGCGCGCGCCGGAAATGTTGCCCTTATTCGGTTCGCCCAGGCAATGGTGGTTGCGAGCCCCGCAACGTAGTGACCTGCAGGCCTGTGCCCGCGGCGGCCGCTATGCGCGCCAGTGCGCTTGGTGAACTAGGGCCGTCGGTGGGCGGCGCGGCGCCGATCTCCAGGCTCGCTGCCCAGCATCGCGGCCGAGGCAGTCGCTCGATCGAGGGGCGGGGAATGCCCATCCGCGCCGCAGTGCGCACTTCTTCCAAAGGCGCGCACAGCTCCGATCAGCATTGCCCCGATGACAAAGCACTCGACCACCATGGAGTTGTGCTTTACCACCACGCCGCGCGCGGCACGAAGCTTGGCCAGCAGCTTCTGGGGGAGATTGCGTTTGAGTTTCTGGTCGCCCAAGAATTCGTTTGAGATCTTGTTGTGGATGGGCAAGAGGCGAGATTTTGTTTAAGATGTTGTTTGGGATGTGGCGGCGGCATGATGTCGTTCAAGATTTCGTTCGGGATTTATCGGCGGCAAGATTTCGTTTGAGTTTTTGCTTGGGCCCCAAAGTGTCTCGGAATATTTCATCGGAGATCCGCTTGGAGATTCCCTCGCGGCAAGATCTGGTTTGAGATCTGGTTTGAAATTTTCTCACTCGGCGAGATTCGGTTTGAGTGTTTCGGGGATTCCTGGGGGTGCGAGAGGTCTTGGACGCACCCGATCTAATTTTGCCTGTCCGCTCTTGCCAGCCGATCTGGCCTCCCCTCCCTCATCCCCCCCGCTACCGCCACGTGTCGCTCTGTCCGGACCATGGTGGCTTCGCACCCAGAGGCAACCACAGGCTGTGCTTTGCCGGGGCCCGGTCGCCCTTGAAGGCCCTTGGAGTGCGCGCTGGACTTTCCCTTCCCCTTCCCCTCGAGCCGAGAAGTGATGGGGGTGGAGCGGAGGGGAGAGAAGGGGAGCGCATGATAGGGGCGAGAAAGGGAGCATGGAGGACAGGGAAGCGGGGAAGGATGGGGGAGGGAGTGGGGAGATGTGGGAGGGAGAGGAAGTGAAGCATGGAGAGATGTGCAGAAAGACGGAAGGATGTCGGGAGAGTGGCGGAGGGAGGGAGGGACACGCAAGGACAGTTTTGGGCAGGTCATCTCGCTGACCCAGGTCGATCGCAAAGCGTTAGCGGAAATGCTGGCTGGAAGAGCAGAGATGCATTTTGTCGGACGCGCGATTTTGATAATCCATTCGGGAGGTTTCTGACCGCCCCGCGACGCTTTGGACTTCGTCATCTTGTCGCCACGCGAGTACAATGCGCCAGCAGACCAGAGCGCCAACGTCGTCGCCATGGACGAAGCGCGAGCGTGGTCCGAGGGAAGTTGCCCGTTGCCAATGCCAATCTGCAAAGCAAACGCGTGTCTCTGTAGTGGCGGCAGCATCTGGGCAGGTGGAATGGGAACAATCGGTGCCGCAGTCACGGAAACAGTTCGATACATTGGCAACAGCTAGCTACCGCTCCAATACGATACACGTACACGTTCAGGGACATTGTGGAGTGGTGCAACATCCGCGTTCGAAGCTGAAACGCTTGCATTACAAGCCGGCCTGGATTGGCTCCATGAGGCCGTACGTTACGTTTGCGCCGGATAGGGTCCATGAGCGCATCGAACGACAGATGGACGGAGTGAGGGGTGGGCAGACAGAGAGAGAGAGAGAGCGGGAAAGAGAAAGAGAGAGAAAGAGAGAGAGAGAGAGAGAGACAGAGGACAGGCAAAGACAGGCATGCAGTCAGGCAGGCAGGCAGCGAGACAGATAGACGCAGACAGACAGAGAAGGACGGAGGGAGAGGAAGAGGAGGTCACGGAGGGAGAGAGAGGTCGCCGCGAGCTCGATTGAACGGTTCTGAACGCAGATCGCCATCACCATCACCCAGAAACGTAGCCAGCAGCGGCCGACTGGCTGCAGAGCGGCGAACAGGACGTTGTCGTACGCGCTTGTTTTCTGGCCAACAGGGGCCCGTGACGCCTAAGCCAGCTCTGTTGGCATTGGCGGCGAGAGGCCGAACCGCGTTCGCCTTCTCGGCCGTGAGCTGGAGCAATGTGGCCCATGCGCAGGAGACAAGTTTCGACTAGCGCCACACGGCCATCGCCCTCATCGGGAAAGTTGAGGTCCTCGAGCTCAGGATTGGGGGCGACGTTAGGCGTTCAACGGTTCCCCGTGCGCGGACACGGAGGCGACCTCGTTGCGGTGGGCCGCCACGGTGGCCCACCCGACGACTTTTCCGAGGTTGGATACGTTGCCCCGGCACGCTATCGAAGACGACGGTCTCGTGGGGGGAGGTAGCCATCTCGGCCGCGACGGGCATGCGGCATGGCTGATGCATTACCGACGACAGCGGTGCTGAGTTCACGGGGCACACAGCGGCGCTGCATGTTGGTCAGTACGAGCATCAGTAGCTTGATGCCGCTGGTGGTCGCTGTACAAGGCATCACGGACAGCGATTGTGGGGGAGGGAGAGGGAGGGATTACATTAGGTGTGTGTGTGTATGTATGTATGTATGTATGTATGTATGTATGTATGTATGTATGTATGTATGTATGTATGTATGTATGTATGTATGTATGTATGTATGTATGTATGTATGTATGTATGTATGTATGTATGTATGTATGTATGTATGTATGTATGTATGTATGTATGTATGTATGTATGTATGTATGTATGTATGTATGTATGTATGTATGTATAAATAAATGTATGTATGTGTGTAGCGGCGTAGGCATTCGTGGGGCCAGAACCGGGTGCTTGGAACCCCCATGGAGGGACTGGGGGCCCCGGGGGCGCTCCCAGAAAGGTTCAAGACGGGTCCAGAGGGCCTCAAGACGACTCTCGAGCCCGTCAAGACGGTCCAAGGTAGCTCCCAGACGGCACAATTGCCCTCCAAGACGTCCCAAGAGACGCCCCAGAGCGTTCCAAGACGCCTTGACATTTCTCCACGACGTCTCCAGAATGCCGACGAGAGCCCCACGAGGTCCCCGAGAAGCTTCCCAAGAGGAAAAATGATTCAAAAGCCTGTGGCAAGTACATTATTCTGGCTTTCTCGCCGTGTCTCTGCCGGTACGCTTCCGAAGCTTGAACATGACCCCAAAAAGGCGACCAAGAGGCTTCGACGACGCCCCAAAGAGGCCCCAAGAGACTTCAAAGAGACCCCAAAGAGGCCCCACGAGGTCCCTAAGAGGCTCCGAGATGCCCTACGCCAAGGTGCCCCAAGAGGCCCCGAGGAGGCCCCCAAGCGGCCCGAAGAGACCCTCAAGGCGCCCCCAGGACGCCCTCAAGAGGCTCCATAGAGGCCGCCAGGAAGCCAAGATTGTTCACATGTTTTTGAAGACCTCGCCTCTCTCCTTCCGATGGATCCCTGAGGCCTGAGGCCCGTCCGTCCTCTTTATTTTCAACTCTCGTCATTCTCCACATCTTGCTGCTGCTCCTCATGTGAGCCATCCCTGAGGCGCACGACTTGAGCTTCGGATACCCCGTGAGGCTTTTCCAGACCCTCTCCCCACATCCACATATGTCCGGAAGGCCGAAGCCCATCCTGGAGACGCCCCGAAGCGGGGCTCCAAGAGACCTCCAGATGCTTTCGCAGGCCCCCAGTGAGCTTCAACAAGACTCCTGAAGGCCCGTTCCGAGCCCCCCCTTAACCACGCAAACATTCTCCCCGACGCGCGCATACGCGCATACGGCCTGAGGAGAAAGCGACGGATGATGGGAGGGAGGGGCAAGAGGAGCAGCAGGAGCAGGAGGAGGTAGTTCTTGCACGGGTCCGACACTTGATTTCGATTACATGTCTCACTCCGCGCGCGTTCTCCCGGCTCCCCTTTGCAGCCGTGAGCCGTGAACCGTGTGCGCTCTCGGTAAACAGTGCCAGGAGGATGGAGGAGGATGAACGCATCGCCCCCCCCCATACACAGGTGGTATCGGGGGAGGGGGGAATGGGGAGGCTTCCCACACTGCTGCGGGCGAGGCACTCCGTCTTTCCTTTTCGTTGTCCTCTGTGGCCTCATCCACCTCCTCCTCCTTGATTCCCTCCTCCATTCAGCTTCAACCTCAGTTTTTTCTTGCGTTTCCTCGAGTTCGAAACACGGAGAGCGAATCGACAGAACAGTTTACATTAGATGCCGATTCATTGGTCGCGCTGAGGGCACCACTTGATGCGGCTATGACGGGTCAGCGCCACCAGTGCCTTTGGCGCCACCACCTTTGCCAAGCGGTGTACGGTCGAATGTTTCGGCCCAAGTGTGCACAGCTGGAGGGGACATCGCGTTGCACCAGCACGTCAACTTGCAATCCCTGTTGACCATGAAGCCACTTGGCTCGCACCCGTAAGAGGGGAGAGTGGACCCGAACACCACGGCATGGTCCGAGAGACTCACCAGGGAAACAACATGTGGTAGTAGAGCCTTGATCCAAACTCGAAGGACCGTTGCTCGTCAACTTGGGCGCGTGTCAGATCGAACCAGAACGGATCTGGCCAAGCTGGCTACGGAGAAGGAGGATAATCATGACGAAGAGAAGGACGATGAACATATATCGAAGGATGTTAGTAAAGGTCGTCATTTGTATTTCCCAGATGTTGTAAGTTATTGGCCAGCGTTTCCAGGTTTTTGCCCAGTACTGGTCGTGCCTGCCGCATGACCGCCCATGCGTTGGCTGGCGTTTCTGGGTTTTCGTCCTGAGCCCTCCCGTGCCCGCCTCGTGCGCGCTGGCTGGCATTTCTGGGATTCACGCGGTGCCCGCCCCATGCCCGCCCCGTACGCTTGCGCTGCGTAGACAGCGTTAGATATCATGCAATACCAAGATTTCTCCTACCCCCCGCCCCCCTCCACACCGATGCCGTTGTTCGCAGTATCCCTTCACACTCGCATATTTTCACACGCGCGCGTGTATGTGCGTATACACACATTTGTTTATACATGCGTTAGCCATCGCGGGCCCCAAACAATGTCCCCTCGAGCAATCTATGTGGCGCAATGTGTGTGGCGCACTTCGTTTGGAAAAACTTGGGGTTGCCAACTCTAGTGTTATGTTCGTGCAATCGTCCCACCCACCCACCCGCAACTTGGTTTGCAAAACCAATGCGGTGGTGATTGCGATGAGTGCTTGGTGTTGGCTGGTGTATGCTCGCGGCCGCGCTAGCCCGCACACGCTCGCGTGCACAGCGGCCAACTAATCTGGCGCGACCGACGATGCCGCGGTGGCGCGGACCGCTGGGCACTTCTCACCGGGCACGTCTGTGCGAGTCGGTGACTTGGGTGGGCGCGGTATCATGGTGGCGCCGACAATGGTGAACACGATGATGATCGCTACGATGATGTCGCAGATGATGGCAACGACGACGGCCAGGCCAATGACGGCGCCCCCCTTAGTGATGTCCCCGTTGGGCTGCCTGCGAGTATCGTTGAAAACGACGAAACCATTACCAATACTACTGTTCACCCACCCCGTGCATTCCTGGAGACATACTACAGCCGACCCCAACGATTTAGCCTTCATAGCCTGTGTGATGGCATGTAGGCGCCCCTGCGACTTGTGACGTATGTTCCAGGACATTGCGGTGAACGGGCCAACGAATTTTGGCATGCAGTCTCCGGAGGTGTCCTAATGCAGGCCGCGCCTGAAGCAGCGCAGCTGGTTGTGCACCGCTGCGAAGTCCCTGATGTTCAGAAGCTGGCCGTCGCTGTCCCACTCCGGCCCGTGCTCCGAGTAGTCGCGATCAAGATGGCCTTATCCCCGCCCTCCGCGTAGACAGCAAAGTCTGGAGGCCAAAACGTCCGCACCGTGTGAGTTGGCAGGACTAGTCCGTGACATTCCCTGTCATGGAGTATTTCTTTTGGACATGGGGGAGCGATGGGTCTGAGCCCACAGTTTGATGCCACCATTCTAGTAATTCGCCTCATCTGCGAGGACATCTCGCCAAATATCTTCCACGAGAGCCGCGTGCCCATCTGCAACTGATTTGGTGTCCACGCTGTCCTCGAATCTGCGCGTCGCCCACATGCGGCTTGAGGTCTTCTCCTAAAAGTCCGATCAGCTTAGTCACCAGGTTAACCGCTTCTGGCTTGCTGATGCCCTCGGTCTTGCGTTCCTCCCACGTACAGAAACCCTTGATGTCGACAAGTGCTGGTACCCACGGTGGTCCACCCGTCCCGCCCGCACGACTGGCCGCAAGCTGCGTCTCCAGGGACGCAACAGTGGCTTCGAGTTGAGTGGGGCGCTTCTTGACGTCAATGACCTTCCTGTCGACATCGTCGATACGCCCGTTCAAGGCTGTACTGATGACACCCACCACTTGCTGGATGGTCTCCCTGATCTTCGTCCTCTCATCCTCCATCGTTTTCTTCAGCAGACCCTCGATGTTCGTGAGGGTCAGGTCATTCGACCCAGCACCAGCACATGCGGCAAGCCTATCGCGGCTCCTGGACCTCGTGCACTGGCATTCTCCCTTCCTAGGGCCACAGTCGCAGCAGAACAGCGCGGCTGAGCAGCAGTTGTGTAGTAGGGGTGTGCAATGCGGTGTAGTAGGGGTGTTGACTCTCTTTACTTTTGAGCAGTCCCTCCCCCGCAAGGGCCTTCCAGTCCTCTTGGGGACGGATGGGGGTGGTCGAGCTCGCGGGCGTCCCGTCGGAAGCGCTGTCGGCACTGGTTTTGACGCAGCTGCTTCCGCGGCCGGCACTGACGCAATCGATGGCGTCGACGACGGCGTCGGCGCCGTCCTTGGCGCGTGCCGCGCCGGTGTCGGCCCTGGCGCAGTCGCAGTTGGCGCCTGCAATGGCGCTGGCACGGCGGGCGGCGAAGCTGAGGCTGGCTTTGGCGACGCTGGCGCTATGCGTCGCGAGGCGCTGGGCTCCCACGGGAGGTAACATCAATGGCGTTGTCTCCACCGCCAACGCTGACGGGCCTGCGGCCTTCCCAGACGGGTGCACGGTCGAGCGTCTTCGCCGTCGCCGTCTTCTTGGTCCGCCAGCGCCGCTGGTCGGTGGTGCTGCTGGTCGGCGGGTCTGCCGGGCGGCGGTGCAGCTGGTCGGTGTGTCTGCCAGTCGGTGGCGCTTGTGGTCGGCGGGTCCGCTGGTCAGCGGTGTTGTTGGTCAGTGGGTGGTCGCCTGGCGTTGTTGGTCGGCGGCGCAGCTGGTCGGTGGGTCTGCTGGGCGGTGGGTCTGCTGAGCAGTGGGGTTGCTGGTCGGCGGTGTTGCTGATCGGTAGGTGATCGGCTGGTTTTGCCGAAACGTTGCGAGGCTGGTCGGCGACGCAGTTCGTCTGTGGATCGTCTGGTCGCTGGTGCTGCTGGTCGGCAGGTGGTCGGCTGGCGCTGCTGGTAATTTGTTGGCGCTGCTGGTTGGCCGGTCCCTCGCCGAGACCGTCTGCAGTGTCCCGGGCGTCCTTCCAATTCGCCCATCGGGCACGCGCACGCACGCACGCACGCACGCACGCACGCACGCACGCACGCACACAGACACACACACACAAACACGCACGCACACACGCACGCACGCACGCACGCACGCACGCACGCACACACACACACACACACACCCACGCACGCACGCACGCACGCACGCACGCACGCACACAGACACAGACACAGACACACACACACACACACACACACGCACGCACGCACGCACACACACGCACACACACACACACACACACACACACACACACACACACACACACACACACACACACACACACACACACACACACACACACACACACGCACGCACGCACGCACGCACGCACGCACGCACGCACGCACGCACGCACGCACGCACGCACGCACGCACGCACGCACGCACGCACGCACGCACGCACGCACGCACGCACGCACGCACGCACGCACGCACGCACGCACGCACGCACACACACACGCACGCACGCACGCACGCACGCACGCACACACACATGTACATGGACATGGCATAACCGTCCGGTCCTTCACTCGGATAAGACGGAGTCAGTAGTGATAGGTCTCCAGTATTCGTCCCGTGTGGCGACTTCAGGACTTTTGTGGCGAAGGGGTAGGAGGATGAGGGATATGGAGACGGAGGAAGTAAGACACATATATCTATATACGGAAAGAGCATGATGGACTGGCAAGTTGCATGTGTCAGACGAGTGCAGGGTAGCCGATGCCTCCCCAACTGTTGGAGCTCAGGACGGCGGCGCAGCAGGAATAGTGATATTCACAGGTCGTCTGCGATACGCGTTCATTTTCAAACTATTGTTGTGGGCAAGACCAGGAGAGGGTAATAGTGAGAGCATCCTTTGCAGTATTGCCAGGGGGAGGGCTCAGTCCCTGTTGCGCTGGCTAATCTTATGGTTCCCGTGGTGATGATTACCACGAGTGGAATCTGATTCAGAGCGTTGCTGGGGAAGTTTTGGAGCATTATATAATCATATAGAGGGCAATGTCTTCTGTCTCCAATTCCCTGTTTTCCCGTCCCCCTCTCCGTAACCCCGTCTTTGTTCCATCCCCCTCGCTTTTTCGTTCACCCGCGCTCTCCCTCCCCCTTCCCTTTATCCTCCTCCCCTCCACTGCAAACTTCCCATACTCTCAACACAAAGACATAATCGCTGACACAGTATGAATACTACTTTCCTCACTCCCCTGACTCTCTCCTGGCTCCTTTGACTCTTTTACACAGGGCTGGACAATAGTTATCTTTCGTATGTTTTGTTTCACTCCGATTGCTTCGGTGCTTTAAAGTGGTGTTTCCGCTGCAGCGTGGGCCTCATTTTCGGATCGGCGCTTTGCTTTCGTCGTTCAGAATGGCGCACTCGACCCAGCGCGGGCCACTTTTCTGGATCCGCGTCCTTTCTCATCGTTGTCGCCCCCTCGTTTCCCCTCCTCCGCCTGCCATGGTTCTCCTGCTCCTCCCGCTCCTTCCACTCCAGTTGCTGCTGCTGCTGTTGCTGCTGCTGCTGTTCGTCCTCGTCGTCCTCTTCTTCCTCCTTTCACATCCTCCTTGTTTTCCTCCTGCTCATCCTCCTGCCAACCCGCCACCTCCTCCTTCTTCTCCTCTTCCTCCTATGTACGCATGGGGGGGGGCACGACGCGTGCCCCCCCCCACCAAAAAAGCTGCTCCTCCCATGGACGCACCTCCCCTTTCCGATGTCGCATAACACGATAGGGGTCGTTTTTGGAGTTCCAGGTCGGCTATGACATGCGTCCGCGGGTACAGCAAATCAGCGAAGCATGAAGGGATGGGAGGGAGGGGCAGGATGTCTGACGTGGCGAGAGCGCACCTAGCTGGTCTTCACCCCACTCCATCCCTCCCCTCCCTCGCATCCCCGCTTGTCGCGGCTGCCGTCTGGCCTCAGGAATCTTTCCTGGAGCTCCCGCCAGCCTAATGCCTAATGTCCGGCTTCGGTGATCGTCTCAGCCAGAGGCAGAAGGCCGGCGGGGAGAAGCTGCATGCAACGCGCGCGGGGCTGCACCGGGAGGACAGGGTTCCGCAAAGGTATGCAGATGCAGAAGCGGAGGGGAAAAGACGAACGGCGAAGTGGAGGGGAAGACAGGGGAAGTATAATACGGCACACGAGACGTGACCCCCGAGAGGCTGGGACTAGTCGCGAAGCCAGCGTGTGGTTCCTCCGCCTCTCCGCTTCCTTCTCTCCCTCACCCTCATATCCCTCATGTCGTCATCCTCGTCGTTACTGTCTTCATCCTCCAGTGTTTCGCTGTCGTCGTCTTCATCGTTCTCCTCGTCTTGATCCTCGTTGCATGGTGGGCGGTCGCGCCCGCCATCAAGCTACACGACGGTTCCTTCGAGTTGCTTTCGACGCATCTGGCGCAGATTATGTGATTGCGCTCACCTGGTGTCAAGAGGTGGTGCATTGCTGACCCTATCAGCGCCACTCCAGGCTGAGGCAAGCCATCAACGATACAAATGACTACCGGTCAGTCATAGTCAGCATAGGACGGCCGTGTCTTGGTGCGCTGAGTCCCAGCCAGGAGATGCCTGCGAGAGGCTTACCCCAATTGTTCCTCCAGCTTGTAAACAGAAAGTTGTGGCATTCACTTTGCCGTAGCGTCACCTCCGTCGCCGAATGCATTGTGGACGCCTGCCATCGCCGGCAAGTCAGCTGCGAGTCCGTAGCCTTTGCTCGCAGGCCAGGCCGCCCCTTCTGGCGACGCGCGCGCGCGCCGCCATGAGCGCGGACGAGGAGGGGCAGGGCGGCGGGCGCCGGGCGGGCGTCGCGATTGGCACCTGGCTCAAGTCGAAGGCTGCAACCCTGGAGAGTCACGCGAAGGAGCTTCGCGACAACTCGCGGCTCATCGTGGCCGACGTGGCGAGGGCGACGGGCGTCAAGGCCGGCGAGGAGCGCGTCGACGTCACATTTGAGAGTGGCGCGTTCGGTTTCGAGCTTGCCCTCGACAACGGCGCTGTCGTCTCGAAGCTCCGCTTCGGCGGCCAGGCCGAGCAGCTTGGCGTGCACGTCAAGGACAGGCTCGAGGCCGTATCGGGGGAGCCGCTGCCGCCGCCAGAAGACAAAGAGAAGTTCCAGGAGGCGGTGAAACGGCACCTGGGCAACAGACAGCGGCCCTTGACGTTGACCTTCGTCCGGGGCGCGGCGGTGGGTGCGGGTGCCACGGCGCTAGATCCTAGCGCCGCCGCCATGGCAGCCGCCCCGAGCGCCTCGGAGGCCCAGCCCGAGCAGCCAGAAGGCGGCGAGGCTGGCGCGCCAGCTCCGGCGTCGTCGCTGGGCCTGGGAGGCTGGCTGAAGTCCACGGCCGCGACGTTGGAGGGCCACGCAAAGGAGATGCGAGAGAACACGAAGCTGATGGTCAGCGAGGTCGCCAAGGACGTCGTGGGTAGCAGCCCAGCCGCGGCGGCGGCTGGCGAGCTGCCGGAGACGGTGGCGCCTGGCGCCAGGACGTTGCAGGCGAGGTTGGAGGAGGCTCTGCAGCAGCTCCAGGAGAAGTCCGCCGAGGCCGAGTCTGCCGCTGCCAGGGCGGCGGCCGCCGAGGCGTCCCTCGCGGCGCAGGCGCGGGAGCTGGAGCTGCAGGAGATCCACGGCTCGCTGCAGGAGGCCGAAGCTAGCCGCGCAGCGCTGCAGAAGAGGCTGGACGAGGCCCTGCAACAGGTTGGGGAGCGGTCCGCCGAGGCGGAGGCCGCCGCTGCCAGGGCCGCGGCCGCCGAGGTGGCCCTCGCGGAAGCGCTAGGGCGAGAGCTGCAAGGGCCGAGCGGCAATCTGCAGGAGGCCGACGGGGCTCTGCAGGCGAAGCTGGATGAGGCACTGCAGCAGCTCCGGGAGACGTCCGCCGAGGCCGAGGCCACCGCTGCCAGGGCTGCCACCGCCGAGGCGTCCCTCGCGGCGCGGGAGCACGAGTTGCAGAGGACCCGCGCCTCGCTGCAGGATGCCGAGGCCAGCGGCGGAGCGCTGCAGGCGAGGTTGGAGGAGGCCTCTCAGCTGCTCCGTGAGAAGTCCGCCGAGGCGGAGGCCACCGCTGCTAAGGTGGCCGCTGCCGAGGCGTCCCTTGCGGAGGCGCAGGCGCGGGAGCTGGAGCTGCAGGGTGCACGAGCCTCGCTGCAGGAGTCCGAAGCAGGTGCCAGTGTGTTGCAGAAGAGGCTGGAGGAGGCCATGCAGCAACTCCAGGGTAAGACCGCCGAGGCCGAGGCCACCGCTGCTAAGACGACCACCGCCGAGGCGCCGGTCGCAGATGCGCAGGAGGTCGAAGCTGGCGACGCGGCGCTGCAGACGAGGCTCGAGGAGGCTCTGCAGCAGCTTGGGGAGAAGGCCGCCGTGGCGGAGTCCGCCGCTGCCAGGGCGGCCGCCGCCGAGGCGTCCCTCGCCGAGGCCCAGGCGCGGGAACGAGAGCTGCAGGGTCTGCTCGCCTCGCTGCAGGAAGCAGAGGTTGGTGCCAGAGCGCTGCAGGCGAGGCTGGACGAGGCTCTTGAGACGAGTTCGGTTTTATCCGTTATCTGGCGAACCCGTAACGTCCGTCATGTGGGGTCGCTTGCCCCTCCCCCCCGCAACAGTATCAACGCACGGTGGGTGAGTGGGCTGGCCTTCTGCAGGTATGCTGCGGTGTGGACAGGCATGATGTGGTGTTTACAGGCATGTTGCCTTGCTGTGGTGCTGAGTAGTACTACACTGCGGCTGCAACTAGTACGAGCTAGTCTTACAGATAGGTGACTATGTTGCGGGTGCCATGTTCCACATATTGCAAGATGGTTTGAGGCTGGGGCGCCGGTCGCCCTAGCTGCCCTTCCAGACGACAGCCCGCCCACCTTGTCGGCAGAAACTGCTGGAGTGGCTTTCCTTAGTCGAAATTTGGTGCTGGAGTTCACGGGCTGCTGGAACTATGGTCCCTCGTACAATCTGGGTGCTGGAGTCCAGCCTTCTTGACGGCACAATCTGCTGGAACCATTTTCCAGCACCAGAATTGGGTGCTGGAGCCCGCGCCGTGGGTTGCTGGAACCAGTGTCCCTGGGGCTTTAGCAGTATAGATAAGGCCGGGGGGGGGCGAGTACGGGGCCCAGGGGTGGGCGTCCTAGCATTGTAGTCACGCCTCGCCCTCAAACGGGGGCAGATCGCGTGCGCGTGCGCGCCTGCGTGAGCTGGCGTGAGCGTGCGTCGCGTTCGTGCGCGCACGTGCGCGATCGTGCGCGTTCGTGCGCGCGCGCGTTCATGCACGCGAGCATGGGCGCGTGCGGGCGTGCGCGCGCGTACAAGATCGGGCGCGACCGCGAGCCCGAGCCCGTGCGCGACCCCGAGCCCGAGCCCGAACGCGAGCTTGAGACCGAGCCCGGGCCCAACCCCCATCCTGAGCGCGCGCGCGTGCGTGTGCGTGCGCGCGCGCTTCCGATGTGTTGACGTTCTCGCCGTAATTTCACTACCAGCAAGATCCACCAGACTGTAGTACGATTGCGACTATTGATAGCTGAGTCCGCAGAGCGGGAGTCACGGCGGGCTCCTACGCGAAATTCGCACGCAGATGTTGCAATCAGTGGATGCTCGGGGCGTTGCTTCGACGAGGGTTCATCTTGGCGTTCCTTGAAGGGGTAGGCGGGGTAGGCGGTCTTCTGGGCTGACAAGCTGATTGGCAGTCTTTGGTGGCCCATTGGGCACGCAGTGTTTGAGGGTGTGTGTGCATCGAAGCTTCCCTGAACCGTCGAGGGATCAGCGGAGGGCCCCGAAGCACAAAGTTCGTGCGGGTGGGCCAAGTTCAGGCTCCCCACTCGCATTAAGGGCCAGCGGATCGCCCCTGGAGGTCCAGAGTGCACGAAATGCTTGAGGAATGTGTCGAGTTGACCCTCCAAGGAGCTGTTTCGGGGGCCAGCTGAGCACCCATGATGCACGAAGAGCGTGATGGTCTGCTGATTTGGGGCTCCTCCCAGGAAAATGGAAGGGCCAATCACTAGTGTAAATACGTATCTCTTGAACTTGGAGGCCCACATCATGTATAGGTTCGTTGGTTCAAGGATCCCACTAGCGTGGATCAGGAATCCTTTTGTATTCGAGGGATCCATACGGATCCGTACGCCGATCCCGTTGGGGGAAAAAACTTCGAAGTTCAGAGAGAATGCTGCCGAGGCCGAGGCCGAGGCCGCCGCAACCAAGACTGCCGTCGCCGAGGCGTCCCTTGCAGAGGCCCAGGCGCAGCAGCGGGAGCTGAAAGAGGCGCGCGACTCGCTCCAGGAAGCCGAAGCTGGCGCCAAAGCGTTGCAGGCCAGGCTGGACCAGGCTCTGGAGCAGCTCCGGGAGAAGGCTGCCAGGGCTGATGATGCGGCCGCGAGGACGGCCGCCGTCGAGGCGTCCCTCGTAGAGGCCCAGGCGCAGCAACGGGAACTGCAGCAGGCGCGCGTCTCGCTGCAGGAGTCCGAAGCTGGTGCTAGAGCGCTGAAGGCGAGGCTGGACGAGGCTCTGGAGCAGCTCCAGGAGAAATCCGCCGAGACCAATGCTGCCGCCGCGAAGGCGGCCACCGCCGAGGCCTCCCTTGCAGAGGCCCAGGTGCAGCAGCGGGAGCTGCAGGCGGCCCACGACACGCTGCAGGAGCTGCTGGCCCAGGCCAGGAGCAGCCTGTCCGAGCAGCAGGCGGCGCTGGCCGAGGGCGCCGGCGAGCGCGCGACGGCGCTGCAGCAAGCGCTCGACGCCGCCCAGGCCGCCCGCGACGAGCAGCGCGCCCGGGCCGACCGGCTGCAGGAGGAGCTGTTTGCCGAGCGGAGGCGCGTGGAGCAGAGCCGTGACAGCCGGGACGCCGCGCTGGAGAAGGAGAAGAGGTCGCAGATGGCCAGGGCAACGGTGGAGGCGAAGCTGCAGCACGCCCAGCAGGAGCTCCGGGACAGGGTCTGCGCGCTGGCCGCCGATTGCGAGGGCCGCGTAGCGGCGCTGGAGGCGCTTCTGAGCGACGAGCAGCAGGCCCGGGCGGTGCTGGAGCAGCAGTCGCGCGATGCCGCGGGGTCGCGCCGTTCCCTGGAGCAGCGCCTCGCCGTCGTGGAGTCCAAGGAAGCGTCTCTGCTGTCCGAGCTCGCGCAACGGGACGAACAGCTGGAGGCGAAGCGCGACTGCGAGCAGCGCCTCCTGCGAGCCAAGGCGGCGGAGGAGGAGGTCAAGGATCCAGGCCTCCAATGTGGGGTCCGAGCAGATGGGGTCGGAGCGCCGCGTCGCCGATGAATCGGCGATGTGGTTCGATGTGGAGACCGAATTTCTCCACGCCGACGGCGCCGATGTATCGCCGGTGTCAGATATGCATCGCCCATGGGATGCTTCGCCTATGCATCGGCAATGCATCGGTGACGCGGCACGATCCTCCGACCCCATCTTCTCGCAACCACTTGAGAGGCCTCCAAAGGAAGAGCTCATCGCGGCCCAGAAGGAGCTCCGCCAGCGCGAGTCGGCGGACTTGGAGCGCGCGCTCCAGCCGACGATCTTGGGCAAGGCTCACGATAAGGAGGTCTCATCGCTGAAGTCGCAGATCGCCGTGCTCGAGGCGCAGAGCAAGTCGTTGCAGCTCCGCGTCGACGCGGCAGAGATCGAGGCCCCAGTAGAGCTCATGGATATCGGTGAAGAGCTCGAGGAGGACGACCCCACCGCCTCGTGCAGCAGCCTCCGCCGCGCTCGCAGGACTGTCCGGCGCGGGGCGTTGCGGGTCGTCCGCTTCTGGGCCGCGTTTCGGCAGTCGGAGGGCGCGCAGAAGGTCGAGCGGCAGCTGCGGGCCTTCACCCGTCTGCTGCTGCGCCAGCCCACGCTGCTGTGGTTCTTCTACGTCCAGATGCTCGCCTTGTGGTTGCTCGAACTCGGGCGGCACACCGCCACGGCGCGACCCCTTGCCGCTGACCCCGCGGCCGCCCTGGCCGTTGTGGTGCCGGCGGCCGCTTCGGCCGCGCTGCAGGCCGCCGCGGCGGGGCCCCCGACCGCCAGCCCCTCCGCGGCCGCCCTCGCGGCCGCGGTGCCAGCGGCCGCCTCGGCCGCCCTGCAGGCGCTGCCGGGTGCCGTTGCCTGGCCCGCCACGGCGCCAGACGTCGCGGCGCCAGCCGCCACTGAGGCGGCGAAGAGCTCGGCACCAGCCTCCACGGAGAGCGCCCTGGCCGAGGCAGCAGCGGCTAAGCAGGCGCTGCCAAGCGCCGCGGACAGCGCGGTGCCCGCGGACAGCGCCGCGCCAGCCGCCTCGGAGGGCGCGCCAGCCTGGGGAGGCGATGCCGAGCAGCGGCTACCCAGACACGCCGCTAGGCCCGTCGAGGCTCTGGACGGCGCGGCGCCCGCCGCCTCAGAGGCGGCGCAGAGCTCGGCGCCAACCGCCGTTGAGGGCCCGCCAGCTGAGGCGGCAGCAGCTGAGCAGGCGCTGCCTAGCGCCCCCGCTGGACCTGCCGCGGCTCCGGACAGCGCGGCGTCCGCTGCTACAGAGGCGACACAGAGCGCGGCGCCGACAGCTTCGGAGACGGGCGGGGCTGCCGCTGACGCTGGTGGCCGCAGAGTCGCGGTCGGGGGTGCCGTGTCGATTGGCCCCTTACTGTAGTGAGATGTTTGCCACATCCTGTAGTGCCGGTGCCATAAAAAGTCTCTTTGGATCGGCATCCCAGTTTTTGTCTCTCTTGCTCTTTCGCTCCTGACCTTACTCCCCTCTCCCCCCCGCTTCGAACAAAATCATATGCTCATACGACGCGCTATGAGAGCGGCCAGAAATTCAAGCAATTTGGAGGGCTGTGCTCTGGAGGATGCATCAACACCGTCAACACGTTTGATTGTATGAGCCTTGGGCCACTCCACTTCATGCTGATGCCACGGTTGCGGGTCTTGTATATTTGTGTATACCGACATGTACAAGTATCTATGTATGTGGAATGCATTCAAAGTGTGTGGTTGTCTGTAAGATTGAGGTTGCCTGGCCCTCAGAGCGTGGCGCAGCCTAATTGAGAAAAGGAGTCAATGGAAGAGGTGGCCTGAGGGAGGGGAGGGAGGTTGGACAAGAGCAGAAGCTTCCTGGCCATCGATCCTCTATGATGTCCGGGTAGCTCGGCGTCCCCATCGCCGCCGCCGTATTTTCCCTCTCACCCGCATGCGGGAACGAGCATGTGGCATGAGGCCCCCCTCGGCCGATGGTCCGGGGCCAGGGCTGGCGTCACGATGTGCCGCACTTCCTAGGAGCCCATGGCAGGCGTTTGAGCGTCTCGTTGGTGTTTGGAGCGCTGCGCGGGGAAGTACGGCACCGCGTGCGACGTGGGCATTTGGGACCGGCAGGTGACACCCAGTGTAGGCGAATGCGGCGCCACATCTCCCGAAGCCCCACTCGGCAAGGTTGGGGCCCAGACGACCGAGGGTCGAGCCGTCCCGCCACCAGTTTTTGATCCAACACAGCGAAGAGTGCCTTTCTGAGGTGTGCGGGTTTGGACGGTGTCTGGCTGGACTCAGCGGGCCCTCGAAGCGTACAGCACTTGTGCTTCTGGTGTCCTGGGGTGCAGGGCACGGCGATTACCATCAGCACGACACCGAACAGCACCACGCCAGTTCCGGCTCCAGCGCCAAGCCGCTTCACAGGCCGATCCGACGCCGGTTCCGACGCCAGCTCCAACGCCCATATTTGCTGCTGTCCCAGCTCCACTTGAGTCGCCGGTCGGCTGCTGGCTCCGATTCCAGCTTCATTTCCCGGCAGTGCGACGAGCAGCACATTACGGCTCCGCACCACGTGCTCCACACCACGACAGTGAACAGTATCACGTCTTTGTCTTGCTTGAGCGGACCGAGCAGGTCGACGACTACCAGGTCTCCAGACAGCTCCCGTGACGGGTGACTCCGAAGGGTCATCTTGCACTGTGCCCTGCGAGGACACCATTACTGTGTCCGCCAGGATGGGTTCGAGCACCTCGGTGGTTTCCAGGACTACGGAATCGAGCGCCACCATGTTATGATGGAGCTGAGACTGAGCACCACATCGATATCCAGTTTGGGAGGAAGATCAAAGGGGGCAACGGCGAGCATAGCGAGCACCGTGCCTACGTCCGACGCCGTCTGGCTCAAGACGGCGCCATCCAATTTGACTGCCTCGCGCCTGCGAGGTAGTATCGCACCTGAGTAACGGAAAACGATACGTCCACATCTTTGGATGGTGAATTTTCATATCTCATGTTTTGTCTCTTGCCTACCGTTCTGCTCTTCAGTATGGAATAAGCTATGGGATACGGTTATATGTCTACGAGGTCGTCTTAAGCAGGGTCTCGGCTTACACCCTTAAACCCCCCTGACCTTCACTTGGTAGCGGAGCTGGCCTCATCTTTAGGTGGATGGCTTTTTACACCATGTGCCATGCACATAACGATATACCAGGGCACCATGGGACTTCCAAATGCGTTGGCCATCAGCCACTACACCCCGAACACTTTTCAGACAGTTGGTACTCAATTATCCTACGCCTTCATCTCCCCGCCGCGTGGCCACACACCACATGCAAGCACAATCCCCACACCCATTCGCATACTGATGGCCACGTCAGATCCTACACCCATTCGTAACCTGACGGATACGTCAGCTACCAAAAACACCGACCACAATATGGACACGCATTATGTCAAGGCTCTTATAGTTGGAACTACATGGGTGCGTCTAGGTCTGGCAATGGGGTACATGCAAAGGGGAATGAATGACACACGTACCCGAGGTCCCGACTGGGACCCCGCAGGCAACGTACCATTCCGCGAGTTAGCTCGCGAAGTACATGCATGGATCAACGTAACCCGTGCAGCCACGACTCCACCACAACAGGCCGCCGCGCTACAGCGGTGCTTTGGGGGTCTAGCCAGGACCCTGGCCATGAGAGGACCATCGGGATGTTCAGGATGTTCTGCAGGGTGTCCGGAAAGCAGATCATGTTAATTCACGTGCATTCTTGGATGGGAGAGTTTGGTTATCCGCGGTTCTGATGCGGGCCTGGGCGCTCCCCCATAGATGTCGTTCGGAGGCAGAGCTTTAGCAGCGAGGCTTCAAGAGCCTTTGCAGAGACAGCAGTCGGCCTATCTTAGGACCTCGTCTCCTTTCATGGCAGGTTCGCGAGAGTCCGGCTGCTGGATGGGGCCGAGAAATGGTGTTCAGTCCAAGTCTGCTGCCGTTCCATCTCGCTGCTCAGGATGCAGGAGGGCAGCTTCCGAGGCACTTTATGCCTTCATGGGGCACAGATGCACGCTGCTCTCTTGCCACCGTCTATGCATCTATCTGTTTCCCAGTGCCTCTCAAAGCTCAGCGATGCATGTCGACATCCACCACGACGTCTTCTATTTCACAGCTTCGGGCCCGGGCAAGAGCGTGCTTGAGTGGCTGGTGCAGGCCGCCAAGCAGCTCGCCTGGATTATCAGAAACGAGCTGGGCGCCGCCCTGGCGGTAGACAAGTGTTCGCTGGCGGCATCGTCGGCGTCGCTCGGCAGGCGCACCTCGCAGGCTGTAGGATCCAGGGCTGGCAGAACTCAGCAGTCTACCACCGAACGTGGGGTCAGACTTCAGGACGGGCGAACATGCCGCTGCGTCTCGGGGTTCAAGTAAGTCTACGCGGATTGGGATAGTACAACAAAGAGCGGTTCGACTACAACAGTTCGTTTGAATAGTTGACCATGGGGCTCGTGGGATAGTCAGCTGCGCTGTTTGAGTCCAAGGCGGTCAGATGGGCGCTGGCACCTGTTGTAAGATGGGCTCAGGAGGTTTGGACTGGCCGCGATGGCAAGGATGCTCCACATGGTGCCATAGAGCTCCTCAAGCTACAGTCATATTGGAAACAGATCGCGTTCAGGTCTGGGCTCCAGTACAACCGAGTCCGAAGAACTGTCGCAGCGGCAGCCCATGCCCTCGACAGGACAGGCTGGGAGTGTCAAGGGACTTTCGTGCCGTGCACGCACGAGGCCAAGTGCTTCTCGCTCGTAGACGTCTCGCCCAAGCTCGTGGATCATTGGCTGCAGTACGCGTTTGCGAGATTTGGGAATTTCAAGCAGCTCGGAGTTTGAGTCGCATTCAGGGCGTTCCCAGGGTGCGTTTTGATGTTGCTCGTAGCACTCTGAGTTCCAAAGGGAAAGAAAAGTCTCCCGGGCAAGTCGGCCCTGCTGAGGGCAGTGTTATGCCAAGGGTACTGGCAAACGAGCCAGGCTTCTGCTGCAGGATATCTCATTGAGGACCGATGTGCGCTCTGTGGCTGCTCAGGTGACACGCCGGTGCACCGCCCGTTCCGTTGCCCGTCCGAGGATGCCGAACAACCGAGGAGCGAGCTTCTCATGCCAGAGCTGCTCGCCAGTAAGCCCATCCCAAATTAACCCTTCAGCTAGGCATTATTCCTCACCGCGCCTCCGACCCTGACTCCGCCCCTCCGCCTGCAAGTGACTTCGCTCTGGAAGTCAAGCAAGAAGGTCAAGTGGCCGAGTGCGGGGTATGATGTTCTTGTAAAGCGGGGCTAAATAGTGGATCCCATGGCGCATGCACCAGATCAGGATGCAAATGTATAGACCGCGCTGCCTGGGCAGTAGGCGGATTTTTAGAATCGGGGGAGCTTTAAGTTGTCATTTCTGGGCCAGCCGTTTCCCTTTCCCGCAGACTCCTCAGGCAGGCGAGCGTTTATGATTTCTCGTGCTTCAGCAGGTTCTGACAGAACAGTCCTAGGCAAATGTAGATTGCACCATTGTTTTTCGTGGCTACCACAAGCCTTTGAGTGGCCGCCTGTCAGATAGGAATCTGCACTCAGGAACCTTCCGCGCCGCGCCAGGCAGCGATGGCAGTAAGTATCTAGATGCAGCGATTGATGAGAAGTCCCATCAACATGAGAACAGGGCTGCCCCTGAAGAGTTCTGCCGTTTCAGATGCATATGCGATGTGGTCTGTCTGCGAAGCCGGCTCTCCAAGTGCACCCGTCGTCTGACCCTTCGGAACTCAAGAAACGAAACAAATGGAGGGCGCCGTTTGCTAGCTGAAATTTGCGCCACATATCCTCAGCGCCTTCCAGGAAGCCGCGATCTAGTGAGGCAAACATGTCGGGTCCAGAGGTGCATCGCACGCGAGTGGCAGCGCACGGAGCATGTCCCACGGCGATGCTCGGCCAGTTTACGCTCAATCAATCCGACGAGGCACTGCAGGAGCGCCTCAAGGAGCCGTGCAAGCCATTCTCGGGAGATATGAGTGACCGTTTGCGAATGTCCCGTGCGTCCGATCGCCTTTGTGCAGGCACCTGTGATGACGAGCTCCTCGTTTTTTGCACGAGCTGCGGGACGTGTTCCACCTTTGAGTTTTAAAGGGCTGCTGGACGAGTGCACAGGGGCCACCGAGGAGTGGCAAGCGGCACGCAGTTGGACAGCGTGTGTTGTCTGGCCCTTAGTGGGCCCTGGAAACGACAGGGCCGTTTTTTTACCGGTTCCGTTTTGCCGTTTGTTTGCCGGTTCCGACGCCGTTTTTTTTACCGGTTCCGTCGCCGTTGTTTGACCGGTTCCGGCTCCGGTTCCAATCCTGGAGCCGTTTTTTTGCCGTTTCCGGTCGCCGTTTTTTTGCCGTTTCCAGTTTCAAGGGACATTTTTTTGGAAACGGTGAAAAAA